GCGCGGAGACTTTACGGACAGCCTGTTGTTTGGCGGGCCACGCTTCGGAGTCAATTACTGCCAGTCATGAGGGGGAGCGTCGCCCCCTCGCTTCGAAAGGACAACCGCAAAGCGGCGGCAGCAGCGCCGAGGCAACACTCCTTTGACAAAGTCACTCGATTGCGTTCAAGACAGAACAACTCCTCTGCCGGTTTTTATTGGCCACATTTCTTTCCACCACAGGGAAGAAAAAGAATAACGTAGCCAAACTTATAAAGGTTTGAGGTCATCCGGACGATTTCAGCTTTCCTAAAGTGTGCGCGTCACTGAGATTTTTTTTATTTCATTTCATTTTTTTTAGACAAAAGCATTTTTTTTTCTCGATATTAACAATTTACCGTCAGGACTGTATTTCTTCTTAAAATGTATCGTCACTGAAATAAAAGTGCCAATTTCAAGTTGATCATCGAAACCGGTGGCGCAGGATGCTTTTTTTTTAATTTTAGGTCATTGCGCTTTGTGCTGCATTTCGTTTTGCACGTGGAGCCAATACCGTGTTCATTTTCACGCAATTTGATGCACGCTAAAGTGTCTTGACGGTCCAAAACAAGGTGAAGCCCCATCTGAAACCGTCTCGCCGAGTCACCGAGCGGAGGAAGAGCCACAATTAACAGTGGCCTTGAACGTACTGAGTCAAGTGGGCAGGCTTTTTTTCAACGCCTTCACAAAATAGAAATAAGGCACGGGAATTTCCCCGTGTTGATCAAGGGCAAACAGCTGATAGCTGAGGGGAAGTGAGTCAGTGGCAGCACTTGTTGAGGCAGGCACTTAGTGTATATGCCTCCCACTCGTGCGTATTTGGCCACTGTGTTGGCAATATGCGGGCCTCGCTGGGGGTTTGGAACTCAAGGGGCGAAAAGTAGTTGCGCCGCTGAGTACGCAGCGTGTTGTTTTCTTGCTTGAACGCTGACATGAGCGTTTTGGCGGTAATGCGTCCGTCGATGACTCCTCTTGCGTGTCACTGCGCCGCAAAGTGATGCATGTGGTGCAAAAGGAGGGCGACAGGCTATTTGATAAACATTGAGCGGATATTTAAGGCTCAATACAAGTTTGAACCAAAGCTCTTCTTCCTTTAAAGGCCACTGGATTTCCTGTTGGGAGGAATGTCAAGTCCTCGGGGGCTAAACATAACAATCAGATGATATTTAAATTCGAAAGTATTTTTTCAACGTCACGCAGCAACATTTACATTTCTTTCTATTTATTTTGTATATGGAAGTAAATAGCAATGTTATCATTGCCATCTGAGCACTTTGATCAACTAACTTCTTTGCCATGTTTTTAGAATATTTTAACGGCAATCATTTTCCCGGCTCAACATGACCCAGGGTGTGTTTATTCTTCAAAAAGGTCATTTAAAAAAAAAAAACACATCACTTGGTTTGCAACATAGTTTTGGTTGACCTCACAATTAACTCAACTTGCAAATATATGAAATAAATGATGTTGAGCTACAAGCATTTGACTGCTTAAAAAAAAAAAAAAAAGTCATCCGAAAGAGAAACTTAAATCCAAATTAAATGCCTGAATAATAATGCCTTTAAAGAGAGCTATTAAGGATGGTTATTTTTCATTGATGTTAAATTCATACCTAGATCAACTGGGCACAATTCTCTTGAGTTAGTAGTCTACACTGAAATATGAAACGTCACTGCAGTACACCACGTCATGTTTTGTTTGATAGACTTGACCAGCAGGTGGCACTAGCTCACAAGCAGTCACAAGAGGTCCCGGTCATGACTGACAAACAAATTTTTTATCTCCTTCGTCACTCTGTGGGGTGGGGGGTGGACAGGGTTGTATGAGTGACATATAACCAAATATTGTGCATTTTGTAAAACTCCCATTCATCCATTTTCACTTGCCCTTACCAGGTGAGTTGGGGCCGATGCCATCTGACCTTGCATGACGGACAGGTGGGGTCGGACTGACTGGACTGCGAACCAGTCGATGGCAGGGCAAATAAGAGCCAACAACGGATTGGCCACAGGCCCGCGTCAGGGGTCATTCAGACAGACGGGTGGTTCTCAACTCTTGTCACCGTGGGACCTGCATCATCCTATTGTTACAAAGTTGAGATCAATTTTAGAGGCGTTAAGAATGATGCTTTTTTTGTTTTTGTTGCTTCAAAATAGCCTCTGAAAATACAGGTACAGTACGTTACATTTTGCTACGAAGTTTCAAATGACTTGGACGTGCCGCTAAAAGCATATGCTAGCTATGTTGTTTGCTTACCAAAGCCTGAGCTGCACTGCGTTTGCTTACTGATTAGCTCGTAACTAAAACACTAGTGAGTAACGTCTCAATGTGTGTTCCAGGTTTCATAGAACAACATTGAAAAGAAAGAGACATTTTACAATTACTAAACACTAAAACATTACGACAGGAACGTTCAGTGCATCAATTGTTTTAAATGGTTAATATGGCCGGGTCTGTGGAAGGGCTTGACCAAACATAAAATATATATTTTTTTTGTGGGCTTTATTCTCAGCTGAACATGAAATATGTTCCGTCACCTTGCTGGTGAAAAAAAATGTACAGCGCAGGATCCCCGACGACGTTACTGATCGACTCGAACATTGTACTTCTGGAGGCACAGCGGCGCGGCCCTGAGCACATGGTCTGGAAACACGTCAGGAAGCAAATCTCGCTGTCTGTGAAGGCCGTAATTGTTTCTCAACTTTCGAAAGGGAGTTTCCCAGATGACTCTGACTATTTTGACAATCATCTGTAATGGCAACAAAATCATGGCCAATAGATTGAAAGACGATCGTAAACAATTTTGGGGTGCGGCGGATTCTGTGGAGAAGGCACTTTTTTATTTGCTGACTGAAGCTTTTCTTCATACTGTATGTACGTAATTTTAATTAACATGTTTAAACATGTCTAAATGTTTATACTGTCTTATACTTCGTAGGTTGGTAGCCATGTTATTGGAAAGGGTTACAACTGACTAACGTTATAACGTACAGTTTCGGTCTATCCCTCGAGGGACGTTGTAACGAAGTTCGACTGAAATAGAAAAACAGACAACAGTAGTAGCTTGCTGAGGTTGGACACAAAATTCAAACACATACTTTCAAGCCACAATACTCTAACTTTAAAACGCATAGCCAATTAAATATTACAGTCCAATGAGTGCGAGAGGCAGGCACACTCAACTTTTCCATCATCTTGTCTGCGCATGAGACGGGTGCAGGAAAAACAGTGTGTTTTATTCAACAATTAGAAAAAACAATTTTAGATGTTAGGGATTTCAAGAACACTTAAAGGCTATCCACACGAGCCACCACGCGGCAGCGTTCAAACTCACATACACGATATTCTACTGTACAAATATCATCCAAATAATCAATCATCGGTCAAAATATGCCACTTAATCTTCTTAATTGTAAATTAGTTTACTGATTACCTGAATATCTCCCGGGTGACGATGGCGATTACAATTGGCAATCGGGGGCAAGCACAGCTGAGAGACGGTCAAATTTCGCGGGCATTTTACCCTCTCTTCACTTCCTGGTCTGAGTCACACTCGCGCTCCATGTTCTCGCGGGATTTTCCCAGCAAAACTCTTAAAGAGACAGTGATGCATTTATTAAAAGTGGTGGCATGCACTCCAACAGTCTAGCTCGTGCCATTTCGGGAGAAAGTGGTGTGCAAATATGAATTTTGATAAGCCAGTCCGCAGGGGTGAACAACTCAGTCGGAAAATAATGGGCCGTTTTTTGACCTGATGAGATCTGTAAGCCCCAGGGTTGGGCTTCCTTTATTCATTTACGTCCCACTTTCAATTGATCGCGCACTATGCAGAATATTTCTAATATCTCAGTTTACCAACAGGTAAAATCCGCAAATAATCGAAGGTCGTTATAATTGCATTGGGAAAAACTACGAAGAAGCATTGACATACTGTGCAATTAACTAGAGATGCATCTAACAATTATCTTGATAACTATTAATCTCTTGATTATTTTGTTGATTACTCGATGAATCGGATACAAAAAAAAATACAATTTCCAGCCTTTCATTCAAAAACAGATTGACAGTGGAGCAAACACACAAACACAAACGATTCAGTTACTGGTTCGGTCCAGAACATGTTGGAAAACAGGCAAAAATGTTGATGTTCTTGATTGTTTTGCCAATGTCTTAATTTAATCAAACAAAGAAAAGGATTTGTCTGCTTTCATGTACTTGCGAGAAGCCAGAGTTGCAACCTGAACACAGAAAACAGTTCCGATGAGTTCAAGGGTTCATTCATCGCCATGAAACTGCATCGCATCAGATTTTAAGAGGTCGACTTCCCCGCGTCGACATTTTCCATCTGCTGCAATGTGACTCTGGCTTGTTTTTATGCTAATCAGACAGAATCATTAGCGCCACTGCCAGCAAGGTTTTCACGTTCCACATAAGATGAGATGCAACAAAAGTGCTGTCAGCCTTGACGGCCTCATTTTTCTTTTTTTAATCATTGATTGCTTCTCAGCGGGGATGACATGCAAAAACTATGCCAGTCCGGGATTAACCGCCTCAAAGCTGACATCCATGCGCAGGCGCTGGGCCACTTTACAAACAGCATTTCCCATTCGGAGCGAGTCAGAATAAGACAGTTGAACCCACCAAACAAAGCCACAGCGTATCTTCAATGTAGGTCGCTCGCTCGTTCATTCATACATTCATTGACATTTTGGGAAATGTAAATTGATTAGGACGGATGATAGAAGATTTTGTGAAACAGGAGCTAGGCCTAAGACTCGTGTAGTTTTTTCTTCCCTGACATCTATTGCAACGATTTAGTCACCCAACAAAGGACAGTACTGGACTCCGGAGCA